CTCTTCCCCTGCCCCGGGGCCGAGCCCAGCCCCGCCGCCCCGCCGGTCTCTGCCCCGGCCCCCGGCTCCCTCCCGCCCTCCGGCCCGTTCCTTCCCGTGGCGCAGGCCGCAGCCGCCTCCCGGAGTCTCCTGCCGCCCCGGCTTCAGCAGCCTCTCTCCCGTGCTGCCGCAGATTGTAATGTAGCAGATCCTGCGATGTCCACGGCCTCACAGCTTGGCCCAGGGTCCAACCCGCTGCCGAACCTGAATGAGACCAGTTCCTCCAGCGTGCCTCATGGTGCTGCCCCCGGCTTACGGTCAGATGCTGCAGGAGGCGGAGGCGGCGGAACAGGAAAGCAGCCTTCGCAGTTCGTTTACGTCTTTACAACGCACCTTGCTAACACGTAAGCAGCAAACCCCGTCTGTCCTCCGCTGGTATAGGGCCGGCCTGTCACACCTGCCTGCTGCAGGCTGCACTTGAGTACACGAGAGCTGGACAGACCTGCGTCTCTTAGGTTACACAGGGCGGGTCCGTCCCCCCCCCCCCGAGCTTCAGGAAGTTTGCTGGCAGCTACTGCTGGTGGGCAAACTTGGTCTGAAAGGCACGCTTCCTCCCAGCGATGCCCAGCGATACATTCTGTGACACACACCGTAGAGTACGTTTGGTCAGCATCCAACGAAAAGATTGACCCAAAGCCGTGTGGACTGCTGGTCTGATTTGGAAGTTTCTAAGGGGCTGGGTGTCCTGGGGAGTGCCATGTAATGCTTGGTGTTCTCCGCTCGATTCCTTCTTTCTGTCCTGCATTGTCTCAGCCACGGACTCTTAGCGAGGCCGTTTAGTTTTAGAGCTCTGCTGTAGCACAGGTTCGGTGCAGCAGATCCCAGAGCATCTTGGTGAGCTTAGGGTAGCTGGCAGAAGACAGAGCCGAGTGCCCATCACAGGACATGGGAAGAGGGAAAATCCAGGGCAAGCGATGATCAGTTGGGGAACCTCACTGGGGCCTGTGCAGGACAGGTGGGAGGACTCTGAGAATATCCTCTCTTCTTGGTGACCTCCAGAGATTTCCCTCTTCCCGCAGAACTGAAGAGAGGAGGTGGCACCTGGGGCCTGGTATGGGTGGGATGGGGCACAATGCCTGTTCTCAAGCGGTTTGTGCTCTCTCCCCAGAGCTGCAGAAGCTGTGCTGCAGGGCCGAGCTGACTCCATTCTGGCCTACCATCAGCAGAACGTCCCGCGGGCAAAGCTAGACCAGGTATACCAGCTATGAACCAAATGCTCCTGTTGGCACGTGCTGCGGACTGCTGACCCTTCCCTTCTGATGTGGTCATTCTCCCCCAGCTCCTGGCTCAGCTGTGGAGGAAGGGGTTGTCAGAATGCCCTTCCAGTGGGGTGGGAAGCTGCTTTGCTGTGGAATCTCTTGGGAGTGAGTCCTGGCTGCTGTCAGCTGTGAAAAGTTTGGGATGGGGCACAGCACGTGGTCCTGCAGCCATGTGGGCAGAGTACCTGGCTGTGCGTTTCCAGGGTGTGTAACAGGGCCTGCGTCTTCCCCACATGGAGTGAAGGTGAACTGCCACGGGGCATGTTTTGGGGACAGAGAGGTCTCCTGCAGGGTGCTGGGAAGAATACCTACCTAGGGTTTTTCCTGCTCAGGTTTATTTCCCTTTTCTCTGCCAGGCGCCAGCTCCTAAAGTGCTGGGGGTCGCTGAGCCGCTTCCAATTAACCCTCCTGCTGCCAACACTCCACAGTCCCAGCCACCGGCCCCTCAAGCGAGTCAGCCACAGCCGCAGCCTCCCCCACCGCAGCCTCCACCCCCACCTCAGACCATCAGTCAAACACCTTTGCCTGCGCCCAGCAGCCTGCCCCAGGAAGGGACAAGTGAAGATGTCCGGAGAGATCTGACTCCCAACTCTTTGGGGAACAACAGCGGCAGCAACCAGCCTGGAAGTAACCACCCAAATACGCCCACCGCATCTGCCAACACCATGCAGCCTGGGCAAGTGGACTCTTCCGCCACGTCCAGCTCCAGCCTCCTCGCGGAGGGCCCGGGCCCAGGGATGCCGGGGAACGGGCAGGCAGGCCTGGGCCCCAGGAACCCCATGAACTCAGAAGGGCTCTCGAAGGAGCAGCTGGAGCACCGAGAGCGCTCTCTGCAGACCCTGCGGGACATTGAGCGTCTGCTGCTGCGCAGTGGGGAGGCCGAGCCCTTCATGAAGTCCAGTCAAAATGCAGGTGAGGGTGGGACTGCCCCTCAGCCGCAGGCTGCCCCTGCCCAGCCCCCCGTGCCCCCCACCAGCATGAAGAAGTATGAAGAGCCTCTGCAGTCCATGATCTCCCAGACCCAGAGTCTTGGTGGGCCCAACCTGGAACATGAGGTGCCCCACCACCCAGGTGCTGACATGGGGCAGCAGATGAACATGATGATGCAGCGGCTGAACCAGGACAGCCTGACACCGGAGCAAGTGGCCTGGAGGAAGTTGCAGGAAGAGTACTATGAGGAAAAGCGACGGAAAGAGGAGCAGATCAGCATCCATGGCCGGCCCATGCAGGAGATCATGATCCCACAGTCGATGGGGAGCATGATGATGCGTGGGCCCCCACCACCCTACCACAGCAAGCCTGGAGAGCAGTGGCCACCAGGGATGGGCAGCCAGCTGCGGGGACCCATAGACGTGCAGGACCCTATGCAGCTGCGGGGAGGGCCACCCTTCCCAGGGCCGCGGTTCCCTGGGAATCAAATGCAGAGAGTCTCTGGCTTCGGAGGGATGCAGAACATGCCCTTGGATGCTCTTGGGCCCATGAATGCCATGCAGAGGCCAGTCAGGCCTGGCATGGGATGGAGTGACGATATGCCTCCTATGGGAGGCCCTGGGAACTTTCCGCAAGGCACCCTGCCCTACCCGTCAGGGCAAGGGGACCCCGAAAGGTTCATGAATCCCCGTGCCAGGGAGGAGATCCTGCGGCATCAGCTGATGGAGAAACGCCCAGTAGCAATGCAGAGGCCCATGGGGATGTCCGGCAACTCCATGAGCCAGGGCATGGAAATGGAGAGGATGATACAGGCTCACAGGCAGATGGATCCATCCATGTTTGCTGGGCAGATAACGGGGGACAGCCTGAGCAGTGCCCCGATGGGAATGGATTTTGCAGGCACTCGGGGGATGCTGAGCCCCCCTATGAGTCAGTCGGGCCTTCGGGACATGGATGCACCTATGGGCCCTGGCAACCTCAACATGAACATGAATGTCAACATGAACATGAACATGAACCTCAATGTCCAGATGACCCCGCAGCAGCAGATGATGATGTCGCAGAAGATGAGGGGCCCTGATATGATGGCCCACCAGGGTGTGAGCCCTGAGGAGCTGGCCAGGGCAAGGGCTCAGAATGGCAATGGCAGTGCAATGCTGGGGGGACCCCAGAAAATGATGATTCCTTCCCAGTTCCCCAACCAAGGACAGCAAGGCTTCTCGAGCGGGCAAGGGCCTTACCCCAACATGCCCCAGGAGATGGGCAGCAGCTCAGACATGTTCAGCCCTGAGCAGGGCACCATGCCTGTTGGGAGCATCAGTGGCACCACCAGGCTCAGCCACATCCCTCTGCCTCCAGCCTCCAATCCCACTCCCACGCAAGGGGGCAACCTGGCCAACATGCACCCAGCACCTTCCCGGGGGCTGGGCCGCCGGCCCTCTGACCTCACCATCAACATCAGCCAGATGAACTCCCCCAGCATGGGTCACCTCAAGTCTCCCACCCTCAGCCAGGTGCACTCGCCACTGGTCACCTCCCCCTCTGCCAACCTCAAGTCCCCACAGACGCCCTCGCAGATGGTCAGCATGCCACCTTCAAACCAGTCTGGACCCCTCAAGTCCCCCCAGGTGATGAGCTCCTCGCTTAACGTCCGGTCTCCAACTGGCTCACCAAGCCGCCTGAAGTCCCCTTCTATGGCTGTTCCTTCCCCCGGCTGGGTGCCGTCTCCCAAAGCCACCATGCCCAGCCCAGGAGTCAACCAGAGCAAGCAGACTCTCAGCATGAACTCATCTGCTTCCATGGGAGGACTGGATCAGGGTATGCCGGGTATCTTGTGTGCAAGTGTGTGTGTGTGCTCGGTTTTGGTGAGTGTGTGGACGGTGTTGCTCTCCAGCCCACGTGCTGTCGCAGGAGTGGGTAGACAGTCGTGCCTGTGTGTGCCCTTACATCTCATGGAGCAAGTCTTTTTTACCCCTGGAGTCCAAACAAGGCCTTTTCAGGGTGATGGGAGGGCAAACAGAGCAGCTTTTCCTTTGGCCCTGGCTCATGCTCTGTGATACAGGCAGCAAAAGATGTGTCTGTGCTGGGCAGTCAGGGGCAGTTTGAATTGGAAGTCCATCACTGTTCTGGAGCAGGGTGTCAGCATTAGCCTCTTCAGGGTCCGGAGGGTGCTGGGCTGCGCCAGCTCTGCGTTTTGCAGCCTCCTCTGGTTGCTGCTGTCGGAAGGAGGGGATGGGGCTGCTGTCTGATGGGAGCAAGCCACAGTGCGCGGGCAGTACTAAGCTGGTCTCTCTCTTGCTTGCAGGTTCTCTCCCTTCTGGGCCTCGGAGCAGCTCTTCTGCACCAGCCAGTAACACCTCTAGCACCATGAATCCCAACATGCCTTTTACTTCCTCTCCAGATCCATCCCCCTCCCAGAACCCCCTCTCGCTGATGATGTCCCAGATGTCCAAGTATGCCATGCCCAGCTCCACACCGCTTTACCACAATGCCATCAAAACCATTGCCACCTCTGATGATGAGCTGCTGCCGGACAGGCCTATGCTCCCACCTGGAAGCATGTCAGGTACATATTTCTGGGGCTGGGCTTGCGAGGGGTCACACCATCTGGTGGCTGCCAGCAGGCCTGAGGCACTAGGTGGAGGAGGCGTTAGAAACTGTTCTCCCACCGGCTGCCATGTCAAATAGCTTAAATTTGCCCTGGTTTGTAACAGTCTGCTCACTGCGCCACCCTGTGCCCAGGCTCTCTGTCAGCTTTTGGCTTGGGTGTGCTGTCTGGAAAGACATGAGCCAGTCTGGCATTTGAGGCAGCCTTCTTCCACAAGCTCTGCGAGTTTTTGGAACTACCTTTACCCTGCGTGGCATGGATTTTCATGGCTCCTGGAGTTGTCTCAGGCCCAGGACTTGCAGGCAGAGGTCTGCTGCTTGGAGCCCTTGTGTTCTTGTGCAGCGGGACAGGGACGCTCTGAACAGGATTTGGGAGCCTGGTGTTTTTAGTGGAGCCCAGGTGCCTGCACAGGCAAGGCTATGTCGTAGCATAGTTCTGATTTCAGCAGGCGACAGCCAGATACGCTCCACTAGCCAGTAGCACTGGTGGGGACAGCTAGGCAAATGAGTGTTTTTTGTCACTTGATGACCAGCCCAAAGGGGAATTCCAGCACGCAGTGCCACTTGATTTAGGGGTTTAAAGCTGTCTGATAAATATTTCTGGCAGTTTTCAAAATGAAAAAATAAATTTTTTGACTCTTTCACTGCTGAGTAGTCACTTAGGTTGACCACAGGCATGCAAATGCATTGGCTCCCTCCTAACCCGAACCCCTCCACAGGCACTGATAGCTCTGCTGTACTGATGAGCACAGTCCTCCCTCCCTCCCCGGACAGCACCTGTGTCATGTCAGGCTGTCGACTCATTTGCTTTTTTTCTCCTCACCGCCCAAGGTCGTGTGGTCACAGGAGCTCACCAGGTGGCTAACCCTGCAGGCAGGCAGTGGTGAAAGGTCACTCCTCAGTGCCTTCCAGGCAGCTGAGCCCTCTGCTGAGATCACAGTGTAGGGCTGTCCCAACACGCAGACCCAGCCGGAACTCTAAAATCAGTGGGGTGTAAGGAACTACAAATCCAGCGTGGGACAGAATGAAGCTGGAATGGTTCTCGGCTGCTTGTGGGCTTGGGGAGCTGGAGTCCAGGGCACTTTTTCCTGACGTTGGTGCTCTACAAGCCCATCTTGCGGCTGCTTACTGAGCATGCTCCGTGCTCAGGGCTTTCTGAGCAGGAGTGCTTGGCAGGCTTCCAGGGTGTGGATTTTGCAGCCCTGAGAGGTCTGTGGGCAGAATTAACTCTTCTCTTGTTTTCCTCTCCATAGGCGTGACAGGGAACCAGCCGAATCAACTGCACTTGAACTCTGTAGGACCTGGGTCTTCTCAGAGCCCCATGGGAATGAACCTGCCTGGTCAGCAACCCCTCTCCCACGAACCACCCCCCACCTCCATGATGTCCTCCCCGAACCCTCTGGGCTCCAACATTCCTATGCACCCGAGTGCGCCAGGGGCGGGTGTGCCCCCCCAGAACCCCATGATGCTGCCCCCGGGGCCCCAGGACTCGTTGAACCAGCAGTGCGGCCCCGTGCCCAACAGTTCGCAGATGATTCCTTCCAACCAGCTCGTGTTCCCCCGCATGCAGCAGCCCCACAACGCCATGCCGTCTCCTGCCGGAGGCATGCCCATGGCCCCTGGTGGGGGAGGTGGCCCTGGGATGCAGCAGCATTACCCACCGGGGATGCCCTTGCCGCCTGAGGACCTTCCCTCCCAGCAGCCCGGCCAGATACCCCCTCAGCAGCACATGATGGGCAAGAACATCCCACCTCGGATCGGCGAGCCCTACCCACCCGTGCTTCCTGGGGTGGCGTCGGTGCTGAACGATCCCGAGCTCAGCGAGGTCATCCGCCCCACGCCCACGGGTATCCCCGAGTTTGACCTGTCCAGGATCATCCCATCGGAGAAGCCAAGCAGCACCTTGCAGTATTTCCCCAAGAGTGACAGCCAAGCGCCCAAATCGCAGCCTTCCAACCTCCACCTCATGAACCTGCAGAACATGATGGCTGACCAGCCCCCGGTGCGGCCAGGTATGAATGCCCCCAGCCTCCCCGGGCAGCAGGGCGTGCAGAGGGGACTCAGCATGCCCATGTGCCATCCCGGACAAGTGCCCATGCTGGGCAGGACAGGCATACCGCCCCAGCAAGGCATGATGGGCAACAGCATGCACCAGGGCATGATGTCTCCACAGCAGAGCCTGATGGCCCAGCAGAATTTCATGCTGATGCAGGCCAAGCAGAGGAGCATGTCTGTGTCGGGGGAGATGTATGCCCAGACAGGACACATGATGTCACCTCAGGGCTCTCTCATGGGGCCCCCGCCTCAGCAGAACCTCATGGTCACGCACCAGATGAGGCAGAGGAGTGTCTCCCTGGACAGCCAGATGAGTTACATCCCCGGGCCTGGGAACATGGCGAACCTGCCTTTCTAACCCCGGCTGGTGCTCAGGGGTGGGGAGGGGACAGGGCTGCCTGTACAAACATTTTTAAACCTTTCTTCAGGGGAGGGTTGGGGGCCAACGCCGGTGGAGGACACCACGGGGGATGCTTTTCATATCGGATTCGCCTCTACACAGAAAACCAGATGTGCAGTAAACTTGATGTGAATTGGGTTTCTTTTTTCTTTCTTTTTTGGGGGAAGGGGAGGGTGGAGGGGCTGGGAGTGGGGCTGTTACTTTGAACCCTGCGTGGTGACCAGGGACATCCAGACCCTGCGGCAGTTTGTAAAGTTTTCATTTATGGTTTTCCTCTGTCAAGTGTTTTTCTTTCCCTTTTTTTTTCTCTCTTTTCCTTTTTTTTTTTTTTTCTTTTTCTTTTTAAGCAACCAAAATGTGCAAGAGGGTTTTTGGAACTAGCTGTAAATAGGTCGCTGGGAAAGGCAAAACTTGTGCTGGTTTTTAATTGTTCTGTATTTCTGTGTTTTAATAGAAGCCTCAAAACATGTTTTAAAAAAACAGAAACAAAAAACATGCTAAAGGCAACAGTGTACAAGGATTGAAAACTCTCCTTGGGGGAGGCAGGAGGATCCCCCAGGGTGCACAGGGCATTGAGAGATCCCATTGTAGAGTGACTCTGTGTCAAACCTGTGTTGTTCACGCGTCTGAACGGTTTGCATGTGCGGGGTGTATAGTTTCACGCAGATCTTAGGCCCCTGTGGAGGCTGTGCCGAGTACATGAACACAACCAACGACCGAGGACCGTCTGGGAGGTCAGAGCTGTGGTTCCAGTGAAACGCTGCTGGAGCAGTCCTCGTCCGGCAGGGCAGGGGCCACAGCTTCACAGGATACAGCTGTCGCTGCTCAGTGGTGAAGCTGCTGTGGCTGGGACTGGGAGGATGCCGGCCCTTCGGCTGGAGAAGCGGCGAGGATCTGGGCTTTGCAGATGATAACATGCTGGACCCGAAGGTCTCGACCAGCCATGTCACCTCTAGTCCCTTCCCTTCACGCTGTGTCCCCTGTGGGCAGGGTAGTGCAGTGTGGAGGGGTAGATGGGCTCCGAGAAGAGCGAGGCGATGCATTCCTGTGCTTCCGGGAGAGGCTACCTGGGAACCCTGCTCTTTTGCAGCCTTCCTATACCAGTCTTTTACCCATCCATCGCCCTCCGCAACTGTGCCGCACCCCCTCTACCTCTGCCATTGAACACTCTCCCAGGTCTTCCTCACGCTTGTTGGTCCTCCTTCTCCAGAGTTTCACAGGCAGCCTTTGCTCCATCTAGCCCTGAGCTACTGGCAGCAGCCCTGCCCTACTGCACAATAGAGGTCCAGCCGCTGAAGAGGACCTGTCCCTGCGTGCGATACTCCACCTCGGTATAAGAGTTGTCTTGTATGGTGTCAGCGGTGCGGCCATCCTGTGCTTCAGACAGAAGAGGCTGAGGTTGCGTTGCAGCCCCTCATTCCTAGGCTGGCGGAAGCATGCAGTTCGAACATCTCGGGCTTTTCTGGATGCGCTCACCCTCCCCATCCTCCACTCCGTAAGGTCTTCCTGCACGCGGTGCTGATGGGTCTTTCCTGTGTTTGTTCACAGAGGGGACTGTGGGGTGATGCGCATGCACTTCCACACGCACCGCAGTTCCTCTGGACCTCCGCGGGGACCGCATTCCAGCATGGTGTACCCTATGGGTATCCAACGGTGAACTCAGGGCACGCGATTGCCGGAGGAACACCAGTTGGAGGATTATCTCTGCAGAGCCAGACTTAGCATACTACCTCTCTTCTAACAGAGCTCACCTTTCCCTACTTGCTACTGCAGGGAGGAGAGGGCTTTCAGAATGGGAGATTGTCAAGTAGTGAGCGAAGAGCAATGCTTTTTATCACGTTGCAAGCTCTTCGGAAAGGCCGGCGGGTGCTGAAATGTCAGCCCAGCGGCTGCCTTGATCCAGTCTGTGAGAAGGTGGAGCCACAAAGTCCAGTTAGGAATACCTTGAAGCTTTGGGGCGTTTTGTAGTGAGCAGTACTGGGCAGGAAGCACGGGTCTGGATTCGAGGAAGGATTTCACTCTGGTCTCCTGCTTTGTGTGATTTTGTTGCATATGATGTGAGCGAGCAGCATTTTCGGAGATGGCAAAACAGGACTGATCCTGGGAAGTGTTCATCCCTGCCTTGGCAGTTGGAGCAGAGGAATAATCTTCAGCCCAGGCTAACGAAGAGTGCTTTGGATCTGACGTGTTAGCTGGTTGGATTCTCCATCCTTTCAGAGTGTGCGTTTCACATGGGAGGATGTGGCTTGAACAGATGTAGCTCTTTCTAAGCTTGACTTGCCTGAAAGGCTGTGGCTTCTCTTGGCTGCACTTCGGGGTGTTGGCTGCTGGTAGTTTCTTGTAAACATCCAAATACCAATGCCAGCCCCAAACCTTGCTCATCACCCACCAGCTAGTCTCGGTTAATTTGAAGCCATAATATTTTCTATACGGAAGTTTTTTTGTTTGTCTGTAGACAGCTGTTGTTTTAGCCCAGTTGAGACCTTCACGTGTCCGTACCTTCCCTGTTATTCCTTTTGCCCAGCCCAACTGAGGGCTTGCCTGGGGCTTGCGGTCCTCACTCTGTCGGCAGCACGTCTGTCCCTGTGTCATCTGGAGCCCGCTGGCTGTGGCGCACCACAGTGCAGTGCTGGGGAAGTTGGCGCTGCCCGCTCACAGGGACAGGGCAGCACAATGCTATTTCTGACTGGTGGCAGGAGGAACACCTGTCCTTTGGTGACAAATAAGTAAGAAGTAAAGCCTTTTGACTCAGCAGCCCTGGATACAAAAGGGAAATCCTGACCCTAGGTCAGAGCTAGGGACTTTGGAGCAACGGTCGGCGCTCTTCCGCAAAATCCCACCTCCCTGGAGCCAGTCCTACCCCTACTGCTGCGATGCCTGACCAACGGGGAGAAGTAGTGCTGCCTAACACCCCTCTGCCCCGGGCGCCGCTCCCAACCGTGTCTGCGAACAGCAATATGGCAGGAGCTTCTCTGGAAGCTCAATAACAGCCAGTCCTTGTTAGACCTGGGCAGGGTTTGCCATCAGCCGGTTGCCCACTGCCGTGAGCTGTGTCTAGTCTCGTGTCTTGTAGTTTATTGCTCGGCTTCTCAGCTTGAGTTCTGTGTACCGACTCCACCTAATCACAGTAAAAGGTTTGCCCATGTTTTAGCCATGACTTCGCCATGTTTTTCCAGCTCCAAAAAAGCGAACGCTGGGAAACCGCATCTTTCAGTATGTCAGATAATCACACACCCGGAATTAGCTTTCACGTTGAGGTAATGGTGACTGACCTGTTCTCTGTCATCCCATGGAGAAACTTCCCCAGTCATTTTGTACCATTATATAAATATATATATAAATATAAATATATAAATACAATATGTGAAGACATCTTATTGGTTTTTATTTGAAACAATTTTTAGGCTTGTTTTTGGGTATCTGTGCTGCCTGTAATGTATTGACCTGTTTTATAGGTGCCTTTTTATTAAAAAGACAAATTTCAAAACCTGACCCTGTACCTGTCTTCAGTGGGCTGCATGATTTTCTGCAGGGCTGCAAGCACGTGTACTCAGCCCAGCCTCCGGGGGCTCAGCCAGCATCACCCGTGGCAGGCTGGGGCTGATCCGAGGGGCTCAGCTGGCCCTGCTATAAATGCCTTTTGTCAGGTGGGGACTCTGAGAGGAGAGGAGCTCTTCTAGGTTGTGGGAGTCATCTGTGCCTAAGGTATGCTGAGACATGGCTGCAGCTGGAGTTTTCTTCCTGTGAAATTTGGGCAGCCCCCTCTCGTAGCGGGGTCAGCTGTTTAGTGCCTGCCACCGTCTGCGTGAGGTGGATGATTTGGCCCTCCTTGTCCGCTTGCGTCCTGGCTCCCTGGGATCGAATGAGACCCAACCACGCAGCTCGGTGCGGTTCGTTACCGTATCGTGGATTTTACTGCCTTAGTCCAGGCCGTGCTGGCTGTTCTCTCCCATCCTCTGCCATGCCAGCCCATCCTTTAGCTCCTGTGGCTTGAAATGTATCATCTTTTTTAGCCGCTGCAAACAAGTAACAGTCAGGAGGTGAACAGCCTCATTTTCCCCTCCTGCCTGCTGTGGGTCCCCTGCCTCCACCGCTGTTCCTGAGCACATCTGCTCCCAGCCACTCACGCCTGGCAGGAGAGCTGCAGGCCCCCTGAGCAGGGCTAGGTGAGGGAGAGGGTCCCGCCACCTCAGCTGCAAGTGCGGCTTCCAGTGCTGCAGGTCCCATCTCCTGTGACTTTGAAGCAGTCGCTGCATGCCTCCGTCTGAAGTGAAGCTCCTGCCCTTCGCGAGATGGCTGCGAGCTCCTTGGTGGAGCTGGGACCACCTGCGCTTGGTGCAGACCTGCGTGCGCCCCTGCCACGAGGCTGCGCCCTGCCCGCAGCGGGCAGGGATTGCGACCTGCTGCTTATGGGCGGTGGGAGCTGGGCCGGGACCAGGGAACTGCCTTTGCAGGACATGGGACAGGACAATCCTCCCAGCTAGGTGGAGGAGCATGCACAGGGCTGATGGGGGGGCCAGGCAGGGCCATCCTGGACGCCTCAAGTCCCTGGGCAGACTGCAGAGCGGAGAGGTGACCTAGAGCAGGGACTTGCCCGGAGCCCCATGGTTCCCTGTTGTTCTGGGCATCTTGTGGCCTAGCAAAGCTCACGTGTGCCATAGCTGCTGCACGGTTGTGGGGAGGCAGAGCCAATGCGGAGCACACTGTGATGGCAGCAAGGCGAGAGGCCGGTTCTGGGGGCTCAGAGAAAGAAAGGGGTTGTGCTGCCGTCCATGCGCAGAGCCGGGGTGGTGCACATGGCATGCTGCCCAGGACCCAAGTTCACGGGCCTCAGTGGCCGTGGTGTCATATGTCCAGAGCCACCTGCGCTCAAAATAAGAAAGATGCAGCAGGCAGCAGTGCAGACACTGAAGTGCTTGAGCATCCGTTTGGTTCTGGGAGATCGGGGTGAGGAAGTAGGTCGTCTTCTTGATAAGGAAAATGAAACCCTGTGCGTGAGTCACAGCGGGGCAGGGGGTGCTAGAGCTGCTAGGAGGGGTGCGAGGGCGTAGGGAGAGCCCCTTCTCTGCAGCACTCCCAGGCACGCGTTCATTCATGCGTTCGCTGGCTCGCGCTTGTCAGTGCACGCTCCGCTGCCTGCCACGGCCCCGTGATCGCTGCGTGTGTGGCAGGATGCTCTGCTGAAAAAGCCCAGCGCTGTCTCCTGGGAGACTCAGTCACCCCGTAGGAAATGCAGAGCAGCATGCCGTGGTGGGGGCCTTTGTGTCCCCTTCTTTAGGATTGCCTTCGGGTTGGGGACCAGGGCTTTCTCTGGGGTGTCTGCTCCAGCCTTGTTTGCAGAGCACAGCCCATGGCCAGGGGCGCAGAGCGTGCGCTGTGGGGGGTGGTGATGTGGCCTGCCCACACGCCACCTCCCCGCTCCCTGCAGGAGCAACCTCGGAGCTCCCCTCAGCTCAGACCCCCTTCCTGGCAGCGCGGGGTGGGGGGGCAGAGCCCGTGGGCTGGGGGCCGAGCAGAGTTCCCCAGGGAGCCTGAAGGTCTGCCTGAGGGCTGCAGCGTCCGGGGGTGGCTCTAGCAGCGTGAGCGCTTAGCAGGGAAGCCCGCTCTGGGCCAAGGCATGTGACAGCCATGCAAACCTCAGGGAGATGGGGAGGATTTCACAGAGTGGAAAGCCCAGCTTCCTCTGCGGTGAAGGAGAGTTCCTCTTGCTTTCTTCTCGTCACCATTCAGCAGGCTGGCTGCAGGCAGCTGCAGGAGGAGCAATGTCTGCTCTCTGGGGAAGGGTCTGCCAGCTCTGAGCCAAGACTTCCCCAGGCTGGCTGAGCCGAACGCGGGTGCAAGGGCGGCTTTCCGCTTGGGTTAGCAGCTGCTGTAAAGCTGGGGTAGGAGGTGCTGCAGTCAGTGGAAGAGGCCCTGTAAAGCAGGGAGCTAACGTAGGTCTGGATTGCCTCCGAACGCAGCAGAGCCTTCTGAGGCACTGGTGAAGGGAAGTCTGAACAAGGCGCTCTTACGAGCCCTGTGGCCTCCATGTGCAAACAGCAACACTTGTCAGAAGGGTGCCATCAACCCACATAGAGCTCTCTGATAAGTTTCCCTTGCAAAAGTGACACGACTGCAGACAACTGCTTACAAGCACTATACACAAGAAGATGGTCTTTTGTTTAACTGTTTATTACAGCTCACATCAAAACTTTCTAAAAGTTTACCAACATACCGGTACTAAAAACTATAGTAACTAGAGATGTGTAATCTGTTCACTCTTATTTTGCATGCAGATTTTCTTTTTACATTGTGAACACTGTGGGAATTTTACACTCTGTTCATTTCTTCAGTAGCATTTTTGTGGGGGAATAAAGCTACCATCAGAACCGGGGCTGGGAGGTGTTTACAATGCATCTGCAATGGGTTTGCACACCGGTACAACCGTGGAGATAGCAAGGGCAGGCTTCAGAGAGCTGCTCTTCCTCTACTGCGCATACGTGCTTGGACAACTACGGTCGCCATTACCTGCAGGTTTCAGCTTTGAAGATGCAGCACTGCAGGAAATGGTGGACTGCTCTTTGTATAAAAGCCTTATGCTTGGGGAGTTTTCTCCTCGAGTCACAATTTGAGAACAAGCTATTGAGATCTCTGCCTGAGCTGGACTGATGTAATGTGACCCCTTCCATAATGACTGGTCTTTTTAGCAGGGCCCTTGGGTACGGTGAAGTTCAGCTGCAACCGAGCCCTTTGTTAGTGGGTTGAACTTCAGAAGTGACTTTCGCACAAAATTCCTGCTGCAGCAGGAGAACTGATGTTGTTCCGACTTCACTTAAAAAGTGAGGTGAATGGTAGAGTGGATTTTAAAGTGTGCTTGTGATTAAGGTTGTGCTCCTGTGGCAGTTGGTACGTATGGCTCTCATACAGTTCAGGCCACAGCACTGCTTAGCTGGCGAGGGAGATGCAATGGAGCAACGCTGTGTATGCGTTGCAATGTTATACTATGACAAAACCCACTGGGAAGCAGCAGGCTGCCTGAGTATGCTAGGGCTGCCCTGTACGCCAGCTTGTGGTGCAATCATTAATGACGGTGAAAGCCGCCACTCTTAGTTTGGGCCAAATTGTTATCAAGCAGCCCTGATCCGAGCAGTTGCTGGATAGTCGTGGTTCAGAGCAAGATCAGCGCCCAGGTTTGTTCTGTGTGAAAACTAGATGTGCTAAACCTCTGAAAGACCCATAGGTGCAGGTGGAGCAAAAATATCAGAAAGAACAGTGCGAAGCAAAACGCTATGGTCCCTTTCAGCCCGCTAAAACCAAACAGAAATTATGCAAATGAGCTCTTTTCCTTACTTGGGGGCAGTGGCTCTCCTTGCTCTCAGAACCCACAAATTGCTGTACAGCTAGCTGCAAAAAAAAAAGTTACACCTTCAGCCTCACACAGCTGTGTGGTTCATCTCCCCCGTGCCCAGTCACTATACAGAAGCCGTCTCTACAGACAGCTTTCTTCCTTAAAGGAAAGCTTTTGCATAGTCAGGCATTCAGTTCGGCAGTCACTTGCTGGCACTCTTAACAGCAGTAAAACAGATCAAATGAGCTGGAAAGGATGCGGCTGGTGTCAGGAAGGGAATCTGTGACAGTCAAATCTTTCAGTCTGTGGCAGGACCTCCTGGCACGAGCCGTCTTGGGAAGATCAACTTGCCGTGGCTGGCCAGGGCTACGTTGTGCAGCAGGAGGAGTAATATTGCAGCCAGAGACTGTCCAGCACCATGTGCGCCTGCTATTGGAGCGAGCTCTGCATCCCCCGGCGGTCCTACCTGTATCTCTCGTTCCAGTTGCCGTGGCCAGTGAGTCCCACTGCTTCCTTCGGGCATGTCTCTACCAACCTGTACCGGTGAAATGGAGACCTGCTTAGCTTTCATCCTCAGTCCTCGCTCGCTGACACAACTCCACTTTTACTTGGCTGCACTTTTTTCCTTGCCCCTGGCACCCCAGTCTTGTGCCTGACTCCATGTGCAGGACACCTGCAGTCAGTTTTTCGAGGGAGAGGTGGAAACGTCGGGTTCATCCCACTCGGGTTCATCCGGCCCCACCAGAGTGACCATCAGCCAGCCAGTGTTCACCAACAGCTGCCAGGCAGATTTCTACAGGTATGAGAACCAGGAGGAGCCAGGGAAGGTATCTGGTGGGATTTGGGTGTTCGGTGGCTATTGGACCTCAGTTTTCTGAGGAGTGAAGGAAGTGGTGAGGACACTTGTGAAACTTGGGACTGAGGCCACAGCACGTGTGCCACTGTGAAGGCAAGCCCCAGACCGGTTCTGCCCTGCAGGCAGCCTTTCCCAGCTAGAAAGTGGAGATAGAGGTGGTGTTGTCAGACTCAATCCCGCTGCCCTTCCTCGTCACCTCCAGGATCTCCTGCAGGGTCTCCTGGCTTATGCAGCCGAGCTCCTGCAGGATTCGGAAGAAGTCGTTACGGAACTTGACTCCAATGAAGGCGTAGAGGATGGGGTTGAGGCAGCAGTGTGTGAAGCCGATGGCCTCTGTCACCATGATGGCCGTGTCCAGCTGGTCTTCTAGGAGGCAGTTCTTGGTGAAGGCTTCTAGCTTGGTAAGTGTGTTCAGGAAGATGACAATGTGGTATGGGCTCCAGCAGAGCAGGAAGACGCCTGTGACCAGGATGGCCACACGGACAGCTTTTTGCCTCTGCAGGCGCTGGGACTGACACAGAGCCCGGACAATGGCCGTGTAGCAGTAACACATCACTAGCAGGGGCACAAAGAAGCCCACGGTGTGGTAGAGGAAGCGGGTCGCCAGCCAGGCATTGTTGCCATCGATCCCAACCTCTGGAAAATAGCAAATGCTGCGGTTGCTGTCATCTGTCCAGACTTCCATGAAGATGAGATCAGGTAAGGTCAAAAGCAGTGAGCAGAGCCAGACAGCTGTGCAGGTGAGGTGGATGGAGCGAGCTCTGCGTTTGCGGTAGGTGTGGATTGCATAGACGATGGCCAGGTAGCGGTCCACCGCAATGCACCCCAGCAGCATGCTACTGCAGTAGAAATTGATCTTGTGGACAGCACTGAGGATCTTGCAGAGGAACTTCCCAAATACCCACCCAGCCAAGCTCTCCACCACGCTGAAGGGGAAGGTTAGCAACAGTGCCAGGTTGGCCAGGGTGAGGTGGAAAAGGAAGTTTTCAGTGGTAGTGCGAGACCGCTTGAACCGCTCTAAAATGACCAGGACCAGGGCATTGCCCACAGTCCCCAACACGAACATCAGCAGATAGATGAGGGGCATGAAGACCTTTCTGAAGGGGTCTCTCTGGTTGCCAACCACAGATGAGGCTGGGTTGAAGCAAAAGTAGCCTTCCAAAGAAGGGGTGGTGTTCTCGTCTTCGTAGTAACCGCTCAGCTCCACCTGGCTCTGGGGAACAGAGAGAGTCTGGTTACTGGAGGGGAGTTTCCGAACACGAGAACCCAGTCCCTCAGCCACACCTGGCAGACCTGGAGTGGAGCATCCCCACGTCCCACAGCCCACCTGTGTCAGGAGGAGGTGCTGCCTGTCTGCAGCCTGACGACCTGGAAGGCCCCTCGGGTGCCAGGAGGTGCAGCAGCACAGGGAGAAGGTTGTCCTATCTCCAATTGCGAGGGCTGCTCACTCTGTAATCTTTAACTAGCGTATTTGGGGATGTTCTGGTGTCCAGACAAATGACCAGTTTCATCTTCTGGTTCTTGTTGAATTACCTGCTGGTGGCTTTTGCTTTCTCACACAGCATGGAACCCTCCTCTACCAGCTTTCCCAATTTTTCCACCCATTTCTGACACCAACTGTCCCTGTGTTGTCTGCTGTTAGGTATGAAGGTGGTGGGATTCACCACACAGCACATCTGTACCTCAACTTATGTGCACTGATCCTGTCCCTTTCTGCCTCTTCTCCTCAGAGACCTCAGAGCTGCCCAGGGCAGAGCAAGGTGAGGTGGGGACAGCAGCAGCTGTGCTTGGGATCACTTTCCATGCACTCAGAGAAAGGTGTGGGGCAGGTGTTCAAGCACAACTGACCGGAGGAATGCCTCTGAGGCACCACCATGCCAGAGCTATGGGGATGGATGCTGGAGAGAGAAATCTGTTCTGTTGGTAAACCTTGCGGTTCTGAATTAATTGCAGTCAGAGCAGAAAAGGGAATCTGAAAACACCACTCAGACCCCAGGCTGATACCCGGTAAAGAAAGTGTGATAGAGGCACCACAGGTGTGATTCGTCCTTGGCCTGCTGTAGCTCCTGGCCAGGTGAGCAGCCTATATTTGGGCTGAGACTGCAGGCAAGTCCTGAGTGCCAGGAAGCTGGAGCCGTGCTCGGGACGAGCCCCCTGAACGGTGGGCATGCTCTGGCTGGCCTCAGGCACCTGGCAGAAGCTGGGCATTCACAAACACAAAGAGCTCGGATGCAGACAAGCGCAAAAAGAGAGTGGCACGGGAGGCTCGTGGCAAGCTGAGAAATCAGTGACGACTGGGAAGAGCTCGGCAGCAGTTACCCTGAGCTCCCCCACCCACACCCTCTCTGGAGACCAGTGCTGAGACTTCAGTGTCAACCACAGCGGAAGTCTCTGCTCGCTGCTTTCATACCTTTCACTGCCAGCTGTAGCCGTTTGCACCTGCTGCTCCTTCCCTTGTCAGCCGAAGTTCCCATCTAAAAATACTAGCCCTGTTTTAAACAGTTTTAGAGCTAATTTTTGGGGTTTTTGCTCCCCCCATGTGCTGCTAAGCCAAATGACCATGACCAGCCTTGAGTTCTGCATTGTGCCTAACTACAGAAGGGTGATTTATGTTTCTCCCCTCTCGGGCAGCCTTCCCTGGGCGACGCACTGGGTGCCTCCACACACGACTGTCTGGGGTAAGGAGGTGACTTCGCAGCGGCAGCACTCATCTCAAACTGCTGTGCTGCTGAAACCATCTGCATGGCTCCAATGGGAGCCCGGGCATGTTGATGGGGAAAAAGTGTACGGAGCATTATCGAATGTGTGGAGCAGGCAGCTGGCGCAGGTGGTCCCCGAGCAGTGGACAGCAGGAGGGCAAACGAGCCCTTGGGGAAAGCGCGGAGTAAGCTTGCCCAGCTCTTGTGCTCTTCCCTGGGCCTCTACCTTTGGCTACTGCCACAAAGAGCGTTGAGCCAGACAGACTTTGGTCTGACCCAAGTTACTCTTGGTCTTGCCACAGTCGCATTCCCCACTGGCTCTGTACCCAGCAGTGCTGCCGCTGTGCTGTGATGCCACGGTGCTTCCTCCCGAATGGGCAAGAGCCAGTCCTCTTGGGGGCCAGAAGTCCTCCTCCCTGCCCAAAACCTCAAATGCACGCGACTGTCTTCCGCTTACATAATGGTGGGGCTGCAAGCCTTTGGTGAGAAGCATTCATATTCCCAAAGAACAATTATTTTTCCTGTTTAGGGTATGATCCTGGAGATTGGAGATTACTGCTAAAGACAAAAGCCTTTAAAAATCCCTCCCAGTTTGTTTTCTCCCTGGCTTGAAAACATTTCCTGCCCAGTCCATACCTGGACCCTGTGTCAGGGGATTACCAACATGCACAGAAACCTGTGATGTGTTGGCCAGGGCCAGATCCTTCAATCTCCCCCCAAAAAACAAAACCAAAACAAAATCCTTTGCAACTTGGTACAGCGACCAAACCAGGCTGCTCAGGACGCATGGGTGACCATGCTGAAAACTCCAAAGAGAACATGTGTTGGAATGGGAAACTTCACTGGGGAGAGCTTGGAGGGTTCCACCTTTAAAGGGAAAAAGGAAAACATGGCAAATGGACAGGTTTGCTGGCTGGCGTGTCGGAGCGCTGCCTGGAGCCACACCAGCGCCATCGATGACGGCGGATGGGCAGCCTGCGCGGTGTTCAACAGCTTTGGCTGCTGAACGGTTTCCAGCATCACCTTGCATTCAGAGCTGGAGGTGCGGAGGCTGAGTGCTACTATCAGACACCATCTGATTGTTGATAAGACGGCAGGTAGGGCTCTTACTGTAAGCCACTCGCCGCGGGCAGGGGAAGCGTGCGCTGAGCTGTGTCTCAGGCGTCCTCTCATGTGCATCTCTGAGCAGAGCAGCGAGTGTGGGTGGGAGCGGACAGAGATGAGTTGGAGACAAATAGAAGAGGATGAAAAGTCAGAGTCCGGGCTGAGACAGGAAGGGCAGGGACCAGAGCCGCAGGAGATGCGCTGAATGCCACAAGCCGAGGCTTTTGGGGACTCTACTGCGATTCCTGTTTCTAGGACTGGAAGCAGGTGACTGCCTGATCTGGGATGGGAGAAGTCAACAGTGTGCGCACAGGGAGACCTTTGTAGAGGTCTCCTGCAATACAATTGCAGCCAGATTTGGGGGTGGGCAATTAAGGGGTGTCTTTTTCTGTAACTGAGCAGTCAAGTGCATGCCTGGGAAGCCCATTCCTGTGTGCCTTTTGTTCAGGGATCCCTTTTCCCCTCTAACCCACATCTCAGAGTTATTCTGGTCTCCACATGTCAGCTGCTTTTCTCAGTTCCCTACAACTGCCAGCGATCAAAACATTTGGCTGCAGAAGAGAAGCAGCTTGTGCACTATTAGGGATTTTCCACGTGAGTCATTCCCTTCTAGCCCATGCCAGGGCTGGGAGAAGCACATTTCATTCCCAAAGCTTTAAAACTGAAATTGCCCATATCAGTGCAAGTTACTGACAGAGCTTCTGCTCATCCTCTCTCCGGGTGCTGAACTAGGGAAACCCATGAATAAGAGCAAAGCCTGTGGAAATGCCACGTTACTGTAGTGGAGCTGCCTTTACGGCTCTTGAGTCACATTGGTCCCATTACAATGAAAACTGGCCTGCAGCACTTCAGGAGACCTGGTGGAGATCTCGGTGGTCTTTCTGCAACTGTGTTTTTGTTTCTCTAGTCTGCAGCTGAGGAAGGTTAAGTGGGCAAAGCTTTCTTGCTATGGAGAAATGGAGTTACTGTTTTGGGCCCATTACTTTGCCACAAGGTTACAGAGACGAGTGGTCTCCTAAGGTGTCAAAGTTTAGGTGAGGCCCTCGCTGCACTCAGTGGGCAATACTGAGATAAATGCCCTTTTGGTGCAAATGTTCTCATCATTTTTACTTCTACGCTTGCTCAATCGGTCAAGCGATCCTCGCTGGTGAGTGCACAGGGTGAAGTTTGTCACTGCTTTGACAGGACACCGCTGAGGCCTTTTTTGAAAATCTCTGTGGGCAGGTTGCTGCGACAAGCGGCAAGTATAAGTAAAGCAACATATGGCACCACCAAAGCAAATGTGGCATTGCTTGTGTGCGATCTGTGGCCTGTTCTAGGGAGGGAGCCAAACCTGGGAAGCTCCCAGGAGACAGAGGTGGGAAATGTGCGTCACAAACTCCCAACTGTGGGAAGTCTGAGAAAAGGTACAAAACTGTTCTTGCTGTGGCACCTGACTGTTGGCACTCAGCCCCAATGTTAGCCGAGTTCCCCCCACCCCTCCCACGGGGTCTCCTTATAATTTAAAATAATTCACAGTGGAGGTAAAATTGCTAAGCTAAGGTTCTGGAAAGTATTGCATACAAAGAACAAATCCCAGTGCTGCTTAATCCCCCTTGCAATAAAAACAATGCAGTTTTGCCACAAGCAGCCGCTTGCTGATAGCACGTGACATGCTGCGGGCAGGCGGACGGCACGCTTCAACTTTGCTGGTTTTCTGGTCGTGGGACAGATTTCCAATGGAGAGTTCAGCTGGAGGAATGAACCAGCATGGAGATGAAAAAGGTTTGAGTTTGGTTTTAACCTCTCAGCAAGCATTAGTGCTGCCACTGAACTTCAGCAGAGGTCAGTGAGAGAAGTGTCTTCTGCAAAAAAGTTCTAAAGGAACGACCACCACTCACAAACAATTTTTATACTGGATGAATCAGAAAAAATAAGGAGGGTAGGGCTTTCCCCCATCTCCTCTCTTCCCTGGTGTACGGGACAAAGGAGGGACAGAAAAATTGGTAAAAATTAAATCCAGCATTTCTCTCTTTAGAGAAACTAAACAACCCCTGAGGTAGGCTGCAGAGAGCCACTGTATTATAAAACAAATGCTGAGCTTCAACATTTGAAAACCAGGCAAATGATACCGCTGCTGTGGACTTCTTGGATAGCACAACGTACTCTAAAAGGTGCAGCTGCCATCTTTCACTTGCAGACGCAGGGGAGAGAACTACGGGGCAGAATACACACTGACATCACTCCCTATTAGAAGAAGTACTTGCAATTCATCTTCCCCTTTTAAAAATTCCCCTCTTGTAAATATAATGCATATTGCCCTTTCAGCAGAGTCTACGGCAGCCTCTTCGTGGAGAAGGCAAGCAGGGGTAGGAGCGTGTGTGATCGTATCAAGGGTTTTCACAGGTGGCGAGACAGCATTGGGTTTGCTTGGGTATTCCTGTTATGTAAAGCTACTAGATGAGATTTCCAGGGCTTTGCACGCTGTGTGCACAGTCATTTATACCACCAAAGGCTGGTGCAAAAGGTCCCTGACTCAGAACAAGTGTTTTACACCCACGTTGAGTCAATGGCTGCGCAGAGAGCAGGGCAGCAGGGAGTAGAGACTGGGACAGGCTGGCAGCGCGGGATGGGGCTGCGGGAACAGCCTGGCTCTCCCAGTGAGCCACCTGGCCCTTCAGCAGCGACTGTGGTCTTGGTCCCCGTGCAAGGACAGTGCTCGGGCTCAGCGCTCGCCAGAACATCAGTGCACGAGGTCCTGGTAGTTAAGCAGCTGTCCCCAAGGGAATACCTGGCACCATTGGATCACAACGGCTACAGCCATGTTACGCTGGCTCTCCGCAAGCACGGTGCTGTCACCTGCAGTCCCCTTGTTGGTCAAGTCTGGACTTAAGGGATGTGAGGGCTGATTGTGCTGGCATAAGAAATCGCTCAAGCTCTCCCTCAGCCAACCGGAGGGTGAGAAGACGGACAGATAGAAACCAGGTCTTTCAGCCCACCCCAGCTCTACCTGCTCTCCCCATTAGCAAGCAAATCCAGGCCTGACTCACCAAGTCATAGGTCTCTGATGAGTAGCTGACAGGGCCCATGGTTTCAGGGGCAGGATCCGTCTCTCCTCCAGCAGTTTCAGCAGAAGTTCTTTTTTGGGGTGGAGTTATTCATTTAAGTGAGTAGGGAGGGACCCATCATGTAACAATAGAGTATTTGCAAGGCAAATGAGCTCCAGGCATAGAGTGCCCTAGTTGATGTAAAGATTAGCATCTAGCTTTATCGTCTTATTTTTTAGTGCTGTAAGTTGATTTTTAAAGTACGGTTTGAAAAATCCACATTCCTTTGGTCTGTACCAGAGAAGATCCAGAATGTCTATAGGTCTTCCCTGGAAACCTCCAGGGCTCTTGCCTGCAGCCACCTTTGTCCCAGGTGGTCTGAAAGGCTTTGGAAAGCTCTGTGCCAAGGGACACCATTACCAGAAATCTCCCCGGATCCGGGTGCCTCTCTGGAGCTGTACAAGACTATGAAGACACCTGAGATGAAATGCGTGGGTCCGGTCTGTATGATCATCGCCCTCCACCTCGAGGTCCTCCTGGCTACTTTAACCTCAGTGACCTGCGGACATCTTGTGCTCTTTCTCCTGCTGCTTCGCCCTTTGCCTTGGCTCAGGGGCATGTGCAGTGTCTTGCACGGGAAAGCACAGCCTCAGCACAATGTTGTTAGCTAGCAGAGGCTGGACCGCTGTACAACACAGAGAGGCCCCTTGATTAGACACCTTCCTGCAGTGCTTGCCTTGCCCATAACAAAGATGGGAAATTAAGATTTCCTCTGCTCACAGAAATGGGTGTTTTGTCCAGTAATGTCATAGCAACTGGTTCACGGTGTGAAAACCCCAGCCTGGGTCAGCAGGATAGGATGGCATCACAGCTGGCATTTTGGCAGAAAGCTTTTCCTCTGTGAGGAGCAGCAGCGGTTTGACAAGCACCGTGCCTGTCCTCCTCTTGTCTGGGCACAGCCGCACCAAAGCCTCCATACCAGCAAGGAGTCTGTTGGGACTCAGCCTGGTGAAGAAGGAGCTGGTGTTACTCTGATAAGCACTGTTCAATTTCATCTGCTCCTTATGCTTCTTAGCCGGAGCCTGGTGCTCCCAGCTTGACGGGGACCTGGACCTGCTGCCCTGAGGATGTTTGCTGTCCTCCCCTGCCCTGAGGACCTTCATGTGCACCTGCACGTGCCCACCTGACACACCAGCCTCTGGGCACCCCTTCTCCCAAAAGTGAGAGGATGGAGAGCAGCAAAGCCGGAGGGAGGGCATGGGGAGCTCGCGCTGTGCCTCACATCCTCTGCCTCATGGGGGGAGTACAAACTGAGCAAGCCCTGTCCCACACGGCTTGGCTGTCCCGAGGCCCTGTGCTGCCAGGGCTGTGGGGTGAGGTGAGAAGTGGGGTACTGCTGTGCCTGGGAGAGGTTAGGAAGGATGTTTTCACTCAGCTAGAACTGGAGGGTGGAGCGCTCAGCATCGGGGACTTCCTTTAAGGGCCAGCAACGAGGGCGCTGCTCCCCACAGCAGGGCACGTTTGGGACCAGCTCTGTCTGTGAGACAGCTCGTGACCTTCAACAAATGCTCCCCGTGGCCCCCCCCCCAGCCCCACTGTGAGCAAAACAGAAGTACCGTGCAAAGTAAGGTACTGCGAGTCCATGGGTGACGGCGATGCCGCAGAACCTCTTGGGTCAGAGGGACAGTCTGCAGGATGCGGCTACGGGGAACTGTCAGCTGGAAACACCTCCCAGGCTGCAAGCTCAGACGTGGCATGGGAGTGACAGGGGTTCAGGGAGCCCACTCCAAAGCAATACACGCAAATGAGTTCACTTGCAAACACATACTACACCAAGGAAATGACTGCTACCATACAGACGTGACCTACAGGATCCATGAGTTGTTGTAATGTGAAATGTGAGAAAGATGATAATGAGAGAGACGAGCATGGGAGAAAAATAAATGGGGAGAAAAGAGATTTAAATGAAAAAGAATGTCACTTCACAGGCAGGTAAGGAACTGACTGTGGAAGAAAATCTTCGCAATATAAATATTTGGGGATTGTTTGGGTGTCTGTATATGGGAATTCCTGGCTGAACTCTGATTTTCTGCCACGGGTGTACACTCTCACTGGAGATACGTTCTTGTTTTGTCAGGAACATAAAATTTTGTTAACTTGTGCAAAGTATTCTGGTAATAGGAAATTAATCAGTTTTACGTAAGGATGAAAAAATGCGCTACTTGTGTATGAAGTTGCTCTGTTCTATATAACTGTGTGCCTAACAAGCACAACTACCGACCAGTTTGACGCTGCACTGACTTTCTGGCTCTGCTTGAGAAAAGCCAGATCACTTCTGGGTCCTGAATCTTCTCACCTCTAATGTTTTCCGTTTGTCTTATTTGCTGTTACCATAACTAAAGCTTTGTGACGCATGTGCTGCCTACAGATGTTAGTCATATTTACTAATCTGTTAATTTCTGTTGTCATTTGTTCTTTTAAGGTTAGAGCATGCAATTTCCTGTACAACTCGGTGCGAAGTGCGATGCTTAGGCCTGTGAAGAGTTGAGATGAAATGCCGGTCCCCGCGCAGCAGGGCCAGAGCAGCAGCAGCAGGCACTGGAGAACAAAGGTCGTGCCCAGCGTGTGCCTCTGACTGCAGGAATGGGGGAGTTGAAGCTTCTCCAGCCATAACTGCTGTGCCCTTCCACCAACAAGCGGCACACCAAGCTGGCAGAGCAAGAAACAGGTGAGATGCAGCTTTTCTGCTCCCCTGGCATTTGAAGGCACAACGCCTGTCTTTTCAGGTTCCTTTTTCACTTGCCACACTTGGAATAGAAGCTTTAAGAAGAAAGAGGGACGCATCAGGCAGGCAAGAGGCTGACAAGGGAGCTCGGCGCCAGGGACCACCTCTCTGCCCCAGGGGACTGCAGTTCAGGACATGGCAGCAGCCCCACAGCGGAGCCACAGGTAGCCTGGGAGCGAACGGAAGAAAGAAATTAAGGACGAGGCTGTGCTGATCTCATTTCCCATGAGAGTTGGGCAGGAATATGTGAAATTATCGCAGCGGAAGGGTCACCAGGCCTGATGGAGGTGATGGGGCTGTGGCTGGCAGAGGAGGGAATGGCGTGGTGTCTTCCTCCGGCTGTGACCCGTGGACCTCTCATGGCGCTATGGGCGGGCATGCGCACCTCGTGCACCACAGTGCTGGCCCCGTGCATGTGTTTTGCCGCAGAGGGCAGGGATAAAGAGTGATCTAAAGACAGCTGTAAGATAGGGGGAACTAGGAGAAAACGGCAAGGTGAGAGGAAACAAATGGGCTTCCCCGTTTCATTGTGCCCATTTTGGAAAAAAACATTTGAACAAAAATTTATCTGCGAAGCAGTTTGGGAATTACCAGCATTTTTAGGCCGGTGTTGAAGATTACATCCCTGTTGTGCCTCAGTTCGGCAAGATCCTCGTCTAAGCCACAGCCATCCGAAAAGGAAATGGTGACTTGCACCCCGTCACCATCGGTGGTTACGGCTCCTGCAGGCCGCGGGTCAGTCTTTTATTCTTATGTTTGTGTCAGCTGTGTTTTAGTGACTACACAACAATGTCGCGTTAGCTTTGCAGGCTTTTTCTCGGGAAACAGGACCGTTCCCAGTATCTTTTGTGACGAGGTCCACGCCGCGTGCTCCTCCGGAGCCAGAGAAGCCGCCGGCCCTGGCGGCTTCTACCTTTGTGGCTACGCGTCCCCCTCTGCCTTAGGGAGACGTAAATGGCCAAAAACGCTGCGGGAGCGGTGCCCGCCCCACCGCCAGCGGAGGACGGGGCTGCCCCCGCTCCGAAGCCTTTATTCCTTCCGCGGTCCTTCTGGGACCGCTTCCCCCGCAGCCGCCCTCGGCCTTTTCGGCGCCGGCCGCCGCCGGAAGACCGGCCGCGGGCTCAACCGGGACCGCGCGCAGGGGCGGAAGGACGGTGCCGCCGCGGTCACGTGGCCGGCGGAGCGCGGTGCGGGAGATCCCACGCGGGGCCGGGCGTGGC